TCGGGCATATTTTATGAATATTTCCAGAAAAGAACTCGAAATAATTGCTACCTGCTCAATCTCCCCGTTGGAGACCTCGAGGAATGACCAAAACTCTCCTTAGTCAAGTTCATCGACGGACCCTGCTCCGGAATCAGGCTATATCCTGCTGAAGCATAGACCCTGGCACAGGATCAGGAACATTTGAGGTAACTTGTGAGTAACAGAGGCAACGTGCTGCCCTGACGTGGTCTTACCAGAATGAACGAGAGGTGCGGTCGCACTATTTGACGGGAGAATACTTAAAGGTGCAATTGGCCTTGACTAACTTGCTAGCTGACTACCCAGTATGATAATAAGCACACGGTTTAAACAACTATATTGTTGAAAAATAGACACAATTAAATTTTTTGGCATTTAGGTAATGTGAAACAAATCTTTTGAGCCCATATTTTAACCCAAGATTTGCTTCATTATTTCTGCACTGTATTAATGTGCTGACAGCGAGCTCAAAGTCGCTGTAGGAACAGCAATGGCTGTTTCTTTCTTGAATGGTTCTCTGCCACGTTCTTGTCCAATGAATGAAACATCCCTTTCGCTTCGACTGCCTTCGGTTTTTCTATTTAATATTCCGCGTTATGAATGTGTTCCGCTATCTTGTCCGGTGCATAGCCGGCATAACTATCGCTCGTGGTCGTTCGTTTCTCTGCCTGAGCAAATATGTAATTATCACTCTTGATTAATGGAAAAAGAGAAAGGATCACTTGTAGCCATTGCAAGTTCAACGTCTTCCTTTCGAGCTGTCTCTGACGCCCTTCTTTCCACGAATTTAACGCTGGAGCATTGATTTCCGTTTCCATGCCATCGGTCAGATGTACCTTATTTTGAAGGCCAAGTGGGCGGCTGTAGTTTGATATTGTGTAGTCTCATGTTTCCTTCCCACAGAATGATACTCACTTATCAACCTCAGTAAGAAAAACGGCAAATAACCTCATTTGACTCATACCCGGGACCACGCTATTCTGAGTTCGACGCTTTGCGAACTACGCATTCCAGGTATGATACAAAGACAAAGTGTGTTAAGTTCCTTGCTCAAGAAAATTCATGGTTAAGACCAAGACTGACCCCGCCGAAATCGAACCGACCTCTTGATTTATGCCCTATGAGTGACAGA